GTGTTTTTTTTTTTTTTTTTTGGTGAAATTGTGTACAGCGAACATGACAACACTAACATGATCGATCGTGGAGGAGATCGAGTTGAGCTGGTCTGCGATCGAGGAGGGCGACGCGAACGACGAGCGGAGGGGCGGCGGACATGGAAGCAGCGGAGTGGGGGATGCTGGAGCAGCAGTGGATGCGAGAGAACGGGAGTGAGAGGGAGCGAGGAGGGCGACGCGACTGGGAGGAGCGGACGTCGAGGAACAAGGTGTTGGAGAGAGAAGAATGAGGGAGGAGGAGTAGGGAGGCGAGCGACGATGAAGAGGAGGGACGACGACGAAGGATCGAGGCTTGGATGAAAGAGGAGCGACGAGGGCGAGAAACACACACACAACGAAACAGCCTGGCACAATCGTTTTTTTTTTTTTTTTTTTGCTTTTTGTTTTTGTGAAATAGCGAAGATGACAACACACACAGATGATCGATCACTGTGGAGGTAGAGGAGAGACGGCGAGGAGTAAGGAGGACAGGACGTCGAGGAAGAAGGTGGATGAGGGAGGGAGGAGGATAAAAGGATGCAGGCATGGAGGAGGAAGGAGCGCGATGAGCACGGAAGCAGAAGAAGAGGTTGACCTGAATACAAGGAGTATCTGAAAGGAAGCGGACGAAGAGGTGATGGTGAAAAGGGCTTGAATGAGGACGAAGGTGGACAGAAAGTCGGGGAAGGGGGGGGGAGAAGGGGAGGAGGTGGAGCCGAACTCGGGGAATATGAGAAACAAAGCGCAGTAATAGGGAATGCGGAAAAGGCCTTGGAAGGTAGAGGAGGTAGGGAGGAAGACGAAAGAGGGAGCAGAGAGGAGGAGCAGAGAGGAGTTGCAAGGACCGGGCGTCGAGAAAGGTGGAGGAGGGAGGAGTGGGGAGGAAGGGGGGAAGGAGGTCGACCGGAACAGAAGGAGGAGGAGGAAGGAGAGGCAGAGAGGAGGACTCTGTGAGCTGTCCGATCTACTCCGTCCTCTCCCCCTCCTCCTCCTCCTCCTCCTTGGCCCCCCCGCACTCGGCCCCTCTTCTGCTCTGCGGCGGGTCCAATTGTTTTTAGCAATTATCAGAAAAAAGTTCTGATCTGGTGATCTCGCAAAAGTCCATCGTACGTAGATGATCTTATCCTTTCCACGTGTCAACGGACGTGGACGATCTCTAATCCTGCCACGTGTGAACGGCGTCGATTCTCATCCGCCTCTGCGTGGCGAAAGAAGATCTGGACAATTGTGAACACATTTAACGGTCAAGGAGAGAGAGAGAGAGAGAGAGAGAGAGAGAGAGAGAGAGAGAGAGAGAGAGAGAGAGAGAGAGAGAGGTATCGTGACCTTATGAGCGGCGTCGATAATCATCCGCCTGAGCGTGAAGAGATCGGAACAGTTGCGCGCATTCAACGGTCCAGACAACACTTCTGCCCTGAGGAAAAGAATACAGGAGGATTTCACTGAAGTAGGCTTTGGGGGAAGGGGGGCGGGGACACAGAGAGACAGAGAGGGGGGGGGGAGAGAGAGGGGGGAGAGAGNAGAGAGAGAGAGAGAGAGAGAGAGAGAGAGAGAGAGAGAGAGAGAGAGAGAGAGAGAGAGAGAGAGAGACATCATGTTTATCTTTGTGGCCGAAAATGGACGGTCGTGCGAGCTGGATTGTCAACCGAGCACGAGGTGGGACGTCTTCCTCCCTCTTCTCCTCCCTTTCCTCCTCCTCCTCCCTTTCTTCCCTCTCCTCCTCCCGGTCCTCCTCTGTCTTCCTCCCTCTCCTCGTCTTTCTGCCCCTCCCTCTCCCCCCCCTCTCCTCTTCCCTCTCCTTAGTCTCTATGCTCCCCCTTCTCTTAATCTTTGTCTCTCTGCTTTCTTTATCGATCCTTTCCCCCCCCTCATTTTCCTATCCTGCTTTCTCTCGATCCCGTCTGTTTTTCCTTCTCCTTTACCCTCCCAATCTTCCGCTAGAACATGGATTGGGTAAAGGAGAAGGAAAAACACTACCGCTAGAACACACCGCTAGAACACACCGCTAGAACACACCGCTAGAACACACCGCTAGAACACACCGCTAGAACACACCGCTAGAACACACCGCTAGAACATGGATATAGACACACCGTAGTAGTGTTTTTCTTTAGTGCATGGGGTGAGTGGTGGAGCGAGGCCCATACTCACACGAGGACTTTTCTCCTCTGTCTCCTTTTCTCGCCCTCCCCCTCTTCGCCCCCGCCCCTCCCAATGTCTCTTATTTGCCCTTTCCCCCCTTTTCTATCATATCATCTCTTGTATATTTTCTCCTCCGTATCCGTCCCCTTCTCCCCCTCCCCTCCCCCCCCCTCTTTCTCCCAATGTCTCTTGTGTCCTTTTCCCCCTTTTCTGTCATATTATCTCTTGTATATTTTCTCTTCTGTCTATGTCTCCTTCTTCCCCCCCTTTCTCTCAATCTCTCTTCTTTGCCCTTTTCCCCCTTTTTACCATATTAGCATATCTCTTGTATATTTTCTCCCCCGTCGCCGTCTCCTTCTCCCCTTCCTCCCCCTCCCCCTTTTCTCTTCTCTCCCCCCCCTTTTCTCTCCCTCCCTTTTTTGTCTCATGCGGCTTTCTATGCCTCCTCCTCCTGCTCAGGACCCTTAGTTCTCGGGTCTTTAATTTGCCTTTTCGTCTCCCTCTTCTCCCTCTACCTCCTCGTCAACTGGGGGGGCTATTTCCTCCTGGTAGCCATCTCAGCTTTCCTCCTTCGTTCTTCTCCTTCTTTTCCTTCTTTCCTGTGTCGGCTTTCCTCTTCCTCAACCTCTTTTCTTCTTTCTCGTGATCTTTTTTATCCTTATCTCTATCTTTATCTTTATATATTTTTCTTTATCCTTACGTCTATCCTTTTCTTTGTCTCCCTCTACTCCACTTTGTCATTATTCTCAACTTTCCCACGGTTTACAACTGATTACCGTTCCATTTTGTTATGATGTCAACGGTATTTCTTGTCAGCACGCGACCGTGGCGCTGACACACCCACACAATAGAGAAGGCAAATGCGTAAAACAGTTGGAAAAGACGAATGGATATGGATAAGACTAATGAATAAGGCAAATGGATTTAGATAAGACCAAGGAAAGGACATCAACGATGTTTCTTGTCGGCAAGCTACTGTAGCGTTGTTGATATCCAGACAGTGCATAAGGGCTCTTCAGTTGCATCACGTGTTATCCGCCAACATCTAAATGCATCTGAACGTTGTTTACGTCCAGATGCATTCAATTACGTTCAGATGCATTCAAAGTCTTGCCGGATGACGAGTGGTGCAACTAGGTCCTCCTTAGGCAGTTGATAAGGCAATGGTTCACACAATGGATAGACAATGCATAAGGGTCTAGTTTGCATCACTTGCCATCCGCCAACATCTGGGTGCA